ATCTAAATAAATGTTTATTAAATCCACTTATATGTAGAATTTGTATGTTTATTTCCCCTTCAACTCTCTATTTGATCGAAAACACTATTTCTTGGAACAATTCTACCCTCGCTATTTCCTGAAATATCAACTGGTTTAATAGGAAGCGAAGGTCGGTGATATGCTATATGCTACCTCTGCCTCCAAGGGGGCTAGTCCATAAATATTCAAAGGGTCCAATTTTAAATATTTCTGGTATGCACTTAGATATATTAAAATATAATTTTTTATGAAAATATAAATATTTTTATATTGTACGTTCTCTTGGGCTGGGATTTGCGCTAGCCTTGTTTATAGCTTGTGGCCTTATCAAATAGACCTAACCGGTCATCAAGAGTTACGGTCTCCTACAAAAAATACAGGAATTGGTTGGGTTTTTTTGGTTAAAAAAGGGTATTTAAGCAACTTTCAGTATTAAAGATGAATGGTTCTAGTTAGAAGGCTTTATTAAAATCAATGAACACCACCGAGACCGGGTCTCACCTGGAATCGCCCCCCTCCCCTCCCCTAGCTCCCTTCCCCCCTAGCACTGCTAGGGGCTAACTGTTAAAAACTTCAGTGGTCGACATACGGCATTATATGAACCATGGCATGTATGTATATTCGCGCCGGTGATATGCTGACGTAGGCTATAACATACAGCTATTTAAAACTTCAGTGGTCGACATACCTTTATATCAAATAGTATATTATGCGCTGGTGATAGGCTGGCGTAGGCTGGTGTAGGCTACATACCACCATAAAGCTAAAACTTGGTCGCTTTAAAAATTATTTATTATAGCAATTTATCAAACACTGAAACAGCTCGTTTCGAAGAATACTGTTTTCTGTCGTAGAAAGGAACGGACTATAAATAGATTCGGAAAACTGACCTTCTTCGTATTTCCTTCTCTCTATTTGGAGAAACTTTAAAAATGAAAAGTAAACCCATATTTTATGCCTATGTTTGTCGACTTTTCACGCCTGTTGACGTCCGTCGAGAGATGCAATCGTGTTTGGGTTTCCCCTTAATGACATCATGCTACTACAAATAACTATGACTAGTCAATTTTTTTGACCAATGGGAAATCAAGGTCTTTGCCTTGTGATAATATGGACCAATGAAATTATTCGTTGAATGACATTCCGCGGCCGAGGATCCATATTGTCGAAGTACTGCTTCATATTGAGAAATAACTTTGTTTAGGGAAAATGGACGGGAATTTAGTGGATTCAGGAATCGATCTTAGCGGTCTAACGGATCTCCAATCGCTGTTGAATTCGGACGACATGGATTATGACAAACAGTTCTACGAATTAAAAAGCTCAGTGGTTGAGGGGAGGTAAGTTGTTGGGGATTTTAGGGGAAGATACGCCCCGTTATTTTACGCAATATATTGACTGATAACAGAATGGTGTCCATTCGTTCACGCGCTGATAGTCGGCAGCTAGGTTTTTATTTATATATAGCGTATGCCCCGTATGGGCAATGTTACATCATGGCGCAGCTTAGTAGTTGTGACGAGTTTTAACTTTCTAAACCATACTGTCCATAGAACATAAATGTCATCGTACAGTTCATACCGAGAATTTATTTTTTCAAAATACATGTAACCATTGGCATTTAATGTGACAGATGACAGAGAAGCAAGACGTAATTTTACTCGTATTGCTGTTTCTATAACTTCTTCCTCAAGCGCCCCCCACCCCCCACTTTCTTATTATTTCATGTTTGTTTAATGGCAATTGGCTTTATTAGACGACAGAATATAAATTTAACACTGTTAAAATCCTATTATTTATTTATTTATTTATTTCTTTAAATCAAGAGATTACAATAGGACATAGATATAATAATATTTCCCGGTTTTGTGGCCTTGTCAAAATAAAAAGGCAATTGGTTTTTTTTAATTTTACAACATGAACATGGTTGAGAGTGAATGTGATAAGGCCTTGCGAAGGTCATTGTCAATACTCTGCAGTCATGTAGTCAGAAAATTTGATTTAACAGACTTCTTTTTAATTAAAAAGTTTAATTGCAAATACTAAATCTTGTATACTGGTAGGCTTGCTACATCATGTAAGTAGAGTCTCAGATGATTTTTGGCTTTATTTATTGTGGTAAATATTTGGTAATGGTCTACTCTTCTTAGTGTTTGGTAAGTGATATTCATAGGGAAATGAAATCAAGTTAGACGTCTTACTGTTCTGTTGTGACAGGGCTAATGAAGACGTGCATATGCCAAATAGTGTGCTATGAGTGAGAATTTGCCCTGGCAGTGGCACTATGGCCTACTCTTATATCGAATTCCAACTGCCAAGGGATCTTTTACATGCATGCCAATGTTACACAGGACCTTGGTTTTTCATCCCGTCCGAACGACTAGACAGCTGTCATTGTCAGGCCCTCCTTCCTACACCAATGACAAGGGGAAACTTTCTCGCCCAATGCAGGGATCGAAAACACCAGGCTAGCGAGCCAGCATCTTACCCACTTAGCCACCGTGGCTCTGGTATTTCGTAGGAAAAGAATTCTTAGTTTTGCAGGATAGGTGATTCCTAGAGAAGTTTTGCAGGACAGGTGATATTTTGTAGGAAAAGGCTTCTTAGTTTTGCAGGAAACGTGATTTATCATAGAAGTTTTGTGAGAGGAGTTTTGAAGGAAAGGCAATATTTTCTAGGAAAAGGATTTTTAGTTTTGCAGGAAAGGTGATTTCTTATAGAAGTTTTGCAGGAAAGGTGATTTCTCATAGAAGTTTTGCAGGAAACGTGATTTCTCATAGATGTTTTGCAAGAAGGGTGTTATTTTGTAGAAAAAGAAAAATTCTTAGTTTTGCAGTAAAGGTGATTTCTCAGTGAATAAAGTTTAGCTGGAAGTATAGAAATGTTATTGTGACATGATGTTATTGTTGTATTATATCTACTACAGTATATAAATAGTAGTAGTATATAACAGGATGTATTCAACTTTCAAATATAAAGACCACCTGTAGGTTGTGTTATATTCAGGTAGATTATATTGTATTCAGGTACATGTGGTGTTGTATTCATTCAGGTGGATTGTGTTGTATTCAGGTAGAGAGAGAGAAATAGGGTTGAACATCAACTCGACACAAACTAGGTCATTTCGAGACTAACATATGGTTCAATTTTATTTCAATAATCCTCTTGCAAATAGGAGTCTTTAGTTTACATGTATATGGGAGGACCCAGAGAAACCCCAGAAGGTTCGTCAGGTGACCTACAACCGGGGAATTGAAACCACGCCAGTTGATTCAATAAGGTATTCGGGTAGATTATATTGCTCAGGTAGATTGTCTTATATTTGGGTGTTTAAATGGTCTAATGCAATTGAACCATATGTCAGTTGAGTTCCAACATGACTTCGTTTGTGGCAAACCCTATTTATTTCTCTCTCTTTGGGGAGGGGGGGGGATGGATGCCGGAATGGTTCGCACGTGCGCTGTATCATAAGGCCTGTCATTGAGTCAACTGGCGTGGTTTCGAATCCCCCGTTGTACATGTATGTGACAAGGATTAGGGTCGCCTGTCCAACCTTGTGGGTTTTCTCGGGGTACTCCGGTTTCCTCCCACTGCTAAAGACCCCTACGCGCAAGCGAATTATTGAAATAAAATTAAAGCACATGTTAGTCCCAAAATGACCTAGTTTGTGTCGAGTGGACGTTAAACCCCATTTCTCTCTCTCTCTTTTCTCTCTCTTGCTTGAAAATGTTGAGAGAATACTCTTCGAAACGTTGCCTAAATAAATCAGTAATTGTTCTTCTCTCTCTCTCTTATAGATGTAGATTACATATTAGTAAAAAGGCCAATCAAATATTGATATTGAGTGATATTTACCTGTACAGGACGATTACAATAATGTTATCAAAGTTTGATTTTTAGAGATCAGATACGCTATCATATAGACCTACTTTAGTTAACCCCTTAGCTCTGGCTACATATTGATCCAGAATAAATCAGAGAAAAATGTCATGAGGTTTTTTACATTAGGAGTCTTGTGGCTTATTTTTATACGCCCACATGTAACTGTTAATAGAATACAATATCAAGAAACCATCGTTTTATCCAAGTTTTGTCAGTAAAAAAATGTTGGATAAAACAATGTTTTTTTGATATTGTATTCTATTAATTATTGTATATCAGCTTATCTGAATATCAAATGCATCATTTTGACGTAGTCAAAATAGATCCCATCAAACCATCTGTAATTGTTTTGTGTTGCCAGTTTCTATTGATTGGAAGTTTCTCACATGGAACTGTGGACACTGTGGTCGTATATTGTCGGCGCCTACATGTACGTCCGTACATCCATCTGTCGACCACAATTTCTTGTTAACACTCTACAGGCTACATTTATCAACGGATCTTTTTAAAATGACAAAAGTTATCATCCGATCTGTATGAAATATATATATATATATGCATTATTTAAATTAGTAAAATTTTAAAAGCCTGTCGAATTTCAACAATTTCTGTAAATTGTTTTGGTTCTTATTTTGATCCACATCAATATCGTGATATAAAACAAGTTTTATTTCGTTGACATCGGCAGTACAAAAAATATCAATTAATCACTTATCCTGTTGTTTTCTTGGTAAATATTGACCTGGTTATGAATCGTGATACAAATCGCAATACGTATCGTATCGTGCCAGCATTACTCCATTTGTGAAAAGTAACATCACAATACATCAATTCAACGATACATCCTGCCACTAATAAACTAATAATGTTTTAACATATAAATGTATATATGTAACATTGTGAAACCTCTCTATTATTTCCACGTGTCCAACCTCATGGGTTTTCTCCAGTTTCCCCCCATTTCTAAAGCCCCCTACGCGTAAGCGAATTATTGAAATAAAATTGGACCAAATTTTGGTCCCGAAATGACCTAGCTTGTGTTGAGTGGATGTTAAACTCTCTCTCTATCTCATAGTACCTTTACTTTCTCTTTTTAGTCCAATAACAGAAATAAAGAACGCCACGATGCCATCGCGCACGAATCTACGTCAAGAATTAGAAAGACAACAGTTTTTACATGAAGAGAAACAATTATCTATGGTACAAAGAAATGGTTCAAATAATAATATACAGTCGTCAGAGGGTATACAAGTACCTAATATACCAGCTACAGCTGAAATACCATCTAAAGTCTATCAGGTAAAACATAAATCAGTCTAAAGCGAGAATTTCAAATTTTCTAAGAAAGTCAAAACATAATTATTTCTATGTCTTTTGCTCAATAGGTTATCAAATCACTATTATACGATCATGGGCATTATTTCCCACCCTTCAAAATCTATGACACAGGAAATAACAACACAATTACGTCCCCTGTTTTGCTATTGACAACATGGGGCAACCATTTTCCAACGTTGGAATTTGAAGTTAAAAATGATATTTTTGCCAATTTCTCAGCTGGCAATAGCGAATTATAGGATTAATAGGATTATTCTTTAACAAGGTAGGACTGTTTATGGATACCATCTATTTTAAGGCTTTATTTTAATACATTTTGAAAATATAACTTGGAAAATTTGCAATTGCAACTTTAAAATACAAATCTATGTTTCGTTTCGTTATTTTATACTTTTGATGGCCTCTAGTACATGAAGATCTGACCAGGTGTAGTGGGGGGGGGGGTCGCGTTGGGTCATATGAGCGGCTTTTGACAATATGACATCAGACATTTGATTAACCAATCAGCGTTGATGTTTCTAGTAGGATACCCATAGTTCAGTACACCTCACACCAAAAACTCGCCGTAACAGACCATTTCATTGGCTAATCCCTCACACCAGCCTGAACACGGGTTATATAACAACTCTTCCAGATCCTAGTGTAGTAAAGACAAGTAAAACAAAATTTTGAACTATAAAAAACGAAACGAAATAGGATCTTCGTTTAAATCAGATTGAAGAAAAATTGTTTGAATATGTTCAGAAGGGTGGTGGGAGGGGTTTGAGTGGTACACTTTAGACCATAAGGTCTGTCATTGAGTAACATGTCATGGTTTCAATCTCAAGCTTGTACTTTTGGTCCCTTCAGTATCTGGGGGGTTGGATGACCGAATGGTTAGCACGCGCGCGTTGTATCATACGGTCTGTCATTGATTCAACTGGCTGGGTTTCGATTCCCGGGTTGTACGTGACAAGGAGTAGGGTCGTCTGTCCAACCTTGTGGGTTTTCTCCGGGTCCTCCGGTTTCCTCCCACTGCTAAAGGTCCCTATGCGCAAGCGAATTATTGAAATAAATTTTGTTTTAAAAAAAAACATGTTAGTCCCGAAATGACCTAGTTTGTGTCGAGTGGACGTTAAACCCCATTTGTCTCTCTCTCCCTTCAGTACCCTGCTACTGCTAAAGACCCCTATGTGCAAGTGAATTATTGAAATAAAATTGTACGTCCATATGCTAGTCCCGAAGTGACCTACATGTACATGTAATTTGTGTCGAGTGGATATTAAACCCTAATTGAATGTCAACCCCTTATTTTTGAGTGTGTTGACCAGATATTACAGGGATTAGTGGGACGTTTGTTGTTCCAAGTCAAAGGAACCTGGGAACAGTATGAACATTTGATGTTTATATCATTTCTAAAAGTTTTTCGTTTTCAAGGACTTATACGATGCTTGGGTGTTTAAACTACAAACGTGAAGGCCAATGGAAGCTGATAAGGATTTATGGCAGACTTGTCGTTCAATTCATGGAAGGAAAACCAAACTAATACATCAAAAATATGATTATTTGCAGGCCCGGGGGGTAAAATCTTCATTTACTGCTCAGCTGCACTGTTGGAGCATTTGCCGAATCGACAGCCCTGAAAGTACGTAGGCTAAATGGAGATTGACATATATTTAAATGTATTTTCAGGTGAAGACCTTACTTCAACATCCAACAAAATATTACGTCCAACAAAGTCAAAAACGACAAGTTCAAGATTATTTAAGTAAATCACAAGGTCGACCACATATAACACAATCGTTACCCACCATTCATGATGATGAAACTCTTGATTTATTGTCTCCAACCATGACAGGTAGCGCCCCTGTTGAAACAGATCCTGTGTCATCAGACGTAAGTAATTTGATAATATGTGACCCGCTCCCACAAAAACAAGGCGCTTGCCGCACAGCTTCATTTTGTACTACGGGCAGAAAAGCATAAACTGTATGCCTTCTTGTTGCTATGAATGAGCCGAACTCAACTCCAGATGATACGACAAATTTAAAAAGAATTGCATATGTGGAAAGGTTAGGCTGTCGACTATTCAAATATGCTGCCGGCTTTATTTTTATAAAAATGCTATTTACAGAAACTGGATTGAAGAACAGGCTGAAGCCTATAGATCTCATCTCCATTAAACATACAAACATAAATATATATATATATATATATATATTGCCAAAAAGAAATATGAATGAAATAAAGTATTTATGTTGTAAGGATAGTCGAATTAATTTGGAATTTTATTATTTATTTAGATGGACAGTATATTAAATGGTATATTAAGTTTTGAGTCGAGTGGTTTAACTGGAAGTGTTGACAGTGATTTACATTTTATAGAACCTACATTAGCCCCTGTCTCGTCTACAGTAAGTTTTATCTTTCTATCATTCAGCCATTTTATAGAATCTTTTGGGTACTGCAATATGTAAATATTGTTTCGGGTACTGCAATACACATTGTTTCGGGTACTGCAATACACATTGTATTGGGTACTGCAATACATGTACATAAATTTTGTATTAGGTACTGCAGTACACCTTGTATTAGGTACTGCAATACATAGATATTGTATTGGGTACTGAAGTACACCTTGTATTGGATACTGCAATATATTATTTTGTATTGGGTACTACATGTATAATACACATTTTATCGGGTACTGCTGCAATACATAGACAGTGTCTTGGGTGCTGTAATATATACATATTGTGTTGGGTACAACAATACATAGATATTGTTTTAGGTACTGTAATATATAGATATTTTGTTGGGTACTGTAATATATAGATATTGTGTCAGGAACTGCAGTACATATATTAGGTACTGCAATACATAGACAATGTGTTGGGAACTGCAATATATAGATATTATGTTGGGTACTGCAATACATAGATATTATGTTGGGTACTGCAATATGAAGATATTGTGTTGGGTATAGCAATATATATTGCTTTGGGTATAGCAATATAGATTGTATTGGATGTTGCAATACACAAACATTGTATTGTGATTCAGTAAGCTACAAATATGTAATTTAAGCATATGCTACATGTACAAAATTTTAAACACAGTCATACATTAATTTATGAGAGTAATGTTTTATAAAATGAATTTTCTGCCTCTGGGCTGGATGGTTATATTAAGAACATTACATAAGTGATGTGTACGTACATGTATATCACAATAAAAATATCATAATATACATGTAATGTTATAATCTGACATATTATATTCCATATATCACTCAAAAAAATCATTAAAATATCTCTCACTATAGTGTTTCTTTCCGGTTTGGTTGCTTCATTCTTACACAAAATATAACACCTTTTTATGTTTTTTTACGGTCTATTTTTAAAGGCTATGTTTCACACAGCGTATTCATATGAATTTCTTCCATGTCTACACAAATACAACATTGACTAAGTTTCTCCACATGTGAACCAGGACATATTTAAAGTTTCTTGTAGAGACGTGACTCATACAACAAGTATGGTTCGTATTAGGTACATGCATCCTTATTAGCAGACGGCCAGCAGGTTGATATGTAAAATACATCCTTGTTTCTGTTTCTGTTTTTTTACATTTCTGTTGCATATCAGGCTTATTTTAATTGTGTCCTGTTGCCCATATTCCTGAAGCAATGGCCCGAGATATCCCTCTCTGCCCATTGCTGGATTGGCTTCTGATACTTGAGCTTTTGAGAGAGTGTGTCTATTCTTCCCATTCAATCAAATCTATCCCAAGTACAGAAACATGACAGCCCTTCGTTTAATCTGGGGTCTTCTCTAAAACTTTGGACAGTGATTTAAGGTATTAGACGGTGAAAGTCTTGTTCGTCTTCATACAGTGTTATTTACATTGTATATGTGTTGATAGCCTTGTTTGTCACGCAATTAGTTTTTCTGCAATATTCTGCTATGCACTGGTTATCTATTTTTGAACTATTATCTAAATTTTTGCATAATGCAATGCATCTTTGAAATTGATATGACTAATGTCTGTGTCAATTACACACTGTGTGTGTAAGATCAACAGAATATCTTATATTTAAATATTTCAAGTTGGGAACAATTTCCTGTTCTTTCATACATGTATTAGTCATATACTGCTTACAAAGTGTTAAACAATTTTTATTTCTTTCAAGGCTACCAACTATCATTAAACATGCATAAGGCCGCAGTTAAACATGCATTATGCAAGCGCTAAATCTGCCTATTGCAGGTCTTTCTTTAGGCCTGAAATGTTTTCTAAAGTATTAATTAGACATTAATTAACTGATCCAGGCCTTAATCAACTCTCGATGGCATCAGATTTCTCCGATATTAAATAGATTAGAATGGTTCAGCGATACTTTGATTTAATCAAATATGGAGGACCGAGAAATAGCTTCGATCAACCAGTACGGTGGTTGAAATTATTGCACACGTCGGTCAAAGCTTCAAAGGCTAATATCTTCGCTTGCAATAGAGTAATTTGAATGAAATTTTCAAATTATTCATTTTACATCATCTACTTTCGAACAATATTAGCAATAATGGCTAGTTCTTTATCTAAATCTTACATAATGTATCTTTGATTAATTGTTTGTTTTTCATGACCTGTCCGCATGTCATATTATAATTGTTATTCATTTTGTTATTTTTTTGTGAACCTTAAACATACATTATTCGAGGGCTAAATCTGTCTATTGCGGGTCTTTCTTTAGGCCTTAAATGTTATATAAATTATTAATTAAGCATTTATTAACAAAACAAGACCATAAGCAACTTGATGGCATTGGATACTCGAGATTTTAACTAGATTAGAAAGGTTCACCATTTAAAAATTTAATTTAACAATGGGAAAGCGAGGCTAAGTCTTTAATATACCAGTGCCTTGGTTACCACAATGCACACATCTTGTCAAAACTACAATGAGTGATAACTTGGCTAAGTATGAAGTAATTTGAACGAAATTTTCAATATTTTCATTTTACATTATCTATTTTGAACTATTATAGTAATTTATAGCAAGAATGGCCAGCTCTTTATCTAAATCTTTAAAATTTATTAAACATGCCCTAATTTATTGATTGCTTTTTAAAAAAAAAACTCTTAAAGATACATTATAGGAGATTTAATAACGAGTTGGCAGTTCTCACTATAATAATTAAAAACTAGATAATGTAAAGGCAATTTGCTGAAAATTTCATTCAAATTGATCCACTAAGAACCGAGAACTAAGCGATTGAAATTTCCGGCTAGCCGCAATCATCATTACTAAAGTCAATACGATAAACAGCATAGTCTGGATTATCCATTTAATCGTTAAATCGGCTCATAATCCACTAAAGATCGCAGGCTAGTGATGCCATCTAGAATTGATTATGGTCTGGATAGGTTAATTAATGTCTAGTTAATAATTTAGATAACATTTCAGGCCTAAAGCAAGACCTGCAATAGACAGATATAGCTCTTGCATTATGTATGTTTAAATTTGTTTTTCTTTTCATATTGAAGGTGTCAGGCTTCAATTTTACATGATAGGACCTATCAGTTTTGTTTAACATTTCAAATCATGTGAATAGCATTTTTCATCCTCTTGAATCTACATGTAGACATATTCCTGAAGCAATGGCCCGAGAAATCCCTCTCTGGCCATTGCTGGATTGGCTTCTGATACTTGAGCTTTTGAAGGAGTGTGTCTATTCTTCCCGTTCAATAAAATCTATCTCAAGTAAAGCAACATGACAGCCTTTCGTTTAATCTGGATCTTCCCTAAAACTTTGGACAATGATTAAAACGGTTAAAGTATGTTCGTCTCCAAACAGTATTGTTTACATTGTTTTCAATTTGATAGCCTCGTTTGTCACGCAATTAGTTTTTCTGCAATATTCTGCTATGCACTGGTTAATTGGGCATAATAAAATCGTGAGTCATGACATAACGTTATGTAAACATATTTGGTACAATTTGGAGCTCTGATTTAAGCGTAATGCTTTTGTAACGCAGTTAGCTATTGGTTGTTAATCGGACCATTGACCAGTCATAATTTGGAACTGAAATTTGCTTTCGGTAAAGCAGTGTTTAGTGGGATTAACTCTAATCAAACGAAACAATGCAAGGAGTATGCATGTAGGAAGCAAAGGACGAAAGCAAAGGACGAACCCTATTAGGCTATTACTCTCTCACTCTCTCTCTCTCTCTCTCTCTCTCAAATAATTGACAAAATTAGGATAATTATGGTTATTAGAAAAAATATTTAATATTGTTATTAAATCTAAATTCAGGTCAGGAAATGTAGTAAACAAAATAACAAATCAATAAATAGGTCATTAACCTGTGGTAGTATATGTCCTAATACAGATATATAAAATTAGTCACAACTCATAAACATACAATTAATGTAGATCTCGGTTGAAGTAAAAATAAGCTTATTATTACGCTGTATATAAACATAATTTATAGAGACAGGTGGATTTTAATGTTCACTCGACACAAATCATGTTATTTCGGGACTAACATATGGTTCAGTTTTTAAAAGTGGTAGGGAACCTGAAGAGATCCCACAAGGTTCAACAGGGAATTGAAAACACTTGACTCGATGATAGTCCTTACGATCTAAAGCATACATACATTGTACACTGGGCTTATAAAATCACTTTGAGATGGTCATTCTCATATACAAATTCTTACAAAAAATATAATTGCTGCTTTGAGTGGCATACAGTAGTAATTTAACGTACCCGCTGTATTATAAGGTCTGTCATTGAGTCAACTGGCGTGGTTTTGATTGCCCGGTTTTACGTGACAAGAAGTAGGGTCGCCTGTCCAACCTCGTGGGTTTTATCTGGTTTAGTCCCACTGCTAAAGACCCCTACGCGCAAGCAAATTATTGAAATAAAGTGGATGTTAAACCTCATTTCTCTCTCTATCACAAATAAAAATGTTGACATTGTTTGTAAATATGAAGTTGGTATCTAATCTATTCCGTGTAAAATAAGTTTGATTTATCTACGATATAATATATTAGATATTAATATTAATATAATACATCACCATGATATATATCTCATATCAAATACATCTGGACGGTTGTTGATTGAGGTTATCAAATATCATAACAAACTATCATTAATAATAGTTTTAATCCCTGTGTTGACCAAGAAATATCCGCAGGATTTTTCAGGGTGGTTTCCCCTTTGTGCAGGGGAGCCACGGTGGGTAAGGTGCTGGTCCGCTAGTCTGGAGGTCGCTTGTTGGGGATTTTCTGACGTGGTTTCCCCTTGTCAGTGATGCAGGACGAGGACGGAGGGCCTGACAAGGACAGCTGTCTAGTCGTTCAGATGGGATGGATCAATATATCGCGATTCACTTTCTCACGATTGTCATAATAAATCGTTAGACACTGAATTGATGTGAGACACTGAATTGATGTATCACGATTCCCTTTAATGCTTTTTTTTTTGTCACTCTTTTATCCTTGTCAGACATTATTCATACATACACGAACACTCTTAAATTGTTTTAGTCCACATAAATATCATGATATAAAACAGTTTTATTTCTTCAACATCGGCAGGACTAGAAACATCAATTATTCACTTATCCTGTTGTTTTCTGGGTAAATATTGACCTGGTTATCAATCATGATATCGTAGCACCTGAATCGCAATACGTATGGTGACTGCAGCACTGGCAATACCCAGCACTATCTGGTTAGTTCACAAAGGTCGGACATTCATCTCGAGTGACCCAAAGCATCATAAATTATGGTTCAACCAACTTCATTTCATTTCCCTTAAGAAAGTAATTTACAACAGGTGACACAGCTTGCCAAAAACACTGAAAAATTATGTAAAAAACACATTCTGTAAGAGGAATTAAAATCAAATACTTAGCTTTGATGACAAGTTGATGTGCCAATTTATTAAAAGTTTACTGTGGTAGTATAAATAGAAATACCAGACATGTCAACCAGTCAGTCAACCCCTCCTCCAGACAGTAGTATAAAAAAGGCAGTAGACACAAGTGATTTGACAGTAGATTTCCAAAAGTCGTAAATTTGCACTTCCAAGGGGTAATTAATTTAGAAATTATACATTGAAACTCTACATTAAATAGGGGGGTGGGATGGCTGAATGGTTAGCATGTGCACGTTTTATCAAAAGGTCTGTCATTGAGTCAACTGGCGTGGTTTCGAATCCCCGGTTGTACGTGACAAGGAGTAGGTTCACCTGTCCAACCTCGTGGGTTTTCTCCGGGTCCCCCGGTTTCCTCCCACTGCTAAAGACCCCTGCGTGCAAGCGAATTATTGAAATAAAATTGAACCATGTGTTAATCCCAAAATGACCAAGTTTGTGTCAGGTGGATGTTAAACCCCATTTCTCTTTCTCTCTATTCACGTAATATAAATTATAGAATACCTACATGTACCTAGTCAATAAAAAACAAAACTTGTTAAACACAGTTTGTGTCGAGTGAACTTTAAACCCATCTCTCTCTCTCTCTCTCTCTCTTTCTCTCCATTAAATATATTTTTATTCAACTGTCCAATAATTAGTTTAAGTGGGTAATAAACAGGTAACCAATGCTAAACCTGTCAAATCTATCTAATCAATCAAATGAATGAATATATTTTAAAAAATAGGTTTATCCGACACCACATTTTTCACATTATTATTTTTAACTACAATCTGAATAAAACACAGATCCTATTTCCTTTTGTTTTTATAGTTCAAAATTTTGTTTTACTTGTCTTTACTACACTACGATCTGGAAGAGTTGTTATATTACCGCCGTTTTGGTAGAAGTAAGGGATTAGCCAATGAAACGGACTGTTACGGCGAGTTCTTGGTGTTTGATGCACGGAACTTTATGTAAACCACTAGAAATCGTCAATGCGGATTGATTAATCAATGCCTGATGTCATAGGGTCAAAAGCCGCTCATACGGCCACTGACGTGGCCACCCAGTACAACTTGTCAGATCTTCGTGTAGTGTAGGCCATCAAAAGTATAAAAAAAACCAAAACGAAATATAGGTCTATATTTTAATCAGCTTGTTAGAAATTATTGACCTATTTTAATAAAATCCTTTAGTGGCATTTAGCAATTGGAAACATGACAAATGTGCTTGATAACGATAAGAATACTTATCGAAACGTCGTGCCTGTGTATAATTAATAAACCAGTGATTGTTGTCCCATATAACTGTATAGTTTTGCTATTTTAATAAGTATACATGTATGTAAGGCATTAGAATATTGTGTTCTTTATATGATTTCTATATACGCAAGTATGAAGTGTTTGTCGTCAGTCAGGCCTTTTGTCATACAGGAAACATATTGCTATATATAGATAACACTTTAACCTATCATTACACAAGAGTCAATAGAACAACTCAACCATTTATTAACGTATATACATGTACCTATCCCTAGTGTCCTATATCTTGACTCTGCCTGTAACTCATCTATTTCTTCATTGGAGAATGGATGCTCTAGTGCTTTAGATTATAAGGTCTGTCATCGAATTAAGTGGGTCCTTCGGTTGAAATAAAATAGAACCACATGTTAGTCCCATAAAATGACCTAGTTTGTGTTGAGTGGTTTAATGGTCGAGAGCCAAGTGTTGTTTCAATATATTAGGCAATGTCTTTAGCTCGAGACCATTAAACAACTTAAAATACAGACACTATCTCGCACATGCTTTTCAATGAAATATGTCACGCGAGTCCAATATTTCATCTAGTATAGCTTATGTACCCGTGCATTATTAGAAATAATGGTACGCCAATATCAAAGGATGACATCACATCTGTATTTTAAATATGTTTATACAGGTAGCCTTATTGCTCACCTTGTACAGGTATGAAATGGTTGCCTTATTCAATAAATATTTTTGTATAATTTTTGAACACATTTTAAAGGGGCGTTCAGTGATATGCAGATCTAGAGAGTTGGTAATGGACTTTGTCATGTAAATAAATGTCTAAATGATAGTTTATATGACATTTGAAGTTAGAAAAAAGACTGTTCAAACTAGAAAAAATTCCATCATCATTTAACAGCTTTTAAACTAATTATTGAAAAAGCATATTAATTTACATTATTAATGGTTTGTTTTTGCCAAGGCCCTCCACCATAATGTAGCTTAAAGGTCACCGGAAAAGCATCAATTTTTTTTTAAATAATGCAAGTAATTATGTCAACATATCCTTTCCATAAGTATAACCCGAGCCCGAACGTCAATATTACCTGCAACAGGTAAATTTCAACATTAGTAATTTCCGCCGTTCTCTGTCGGTAGTCGGAACTTTCCGTCAATAAGCAATCCGTGACGTCATTTTAGTCCTTCTGCACATAGAAATATAGACTAGAATATGAGCAGGACTAAAATGACGTCACATTTACGGAAAGTTACTACTACCCACGGAGAATGGCGGAAATTGCTAACGTTGCTTGTGGACGCTCTAGAGGCTAAAGTAAATATCCGATTGACTTTAAATTTATATACAGTGTTTAAGGCCATGAGACGAAGAAGCCTATTGAATTTCAGCGATTTCCGATAATTACTGCCAGAGTTATGGCCCTTGATCACTTCAAAAAATCTTGTGGACGCTCTAGAGGCCAAAGTTAATATCCTATTGACTTTAAATTTATACACAGTGTTTAAGTTCATGAGACGAAGAAGCTTATTGATTTTCAGCGATTTCCGATAATTACTGCCAGAGTTATGGCCCTTGACCACTTCAAAAAATCTTGTGGACGCTCTAGAGGCCAAAGTTAATATCCGATTGACTTTAAATTTATACACAGTGTTTAAGGTCATCAGACAAAAAAGCCTATTGATTTTCAGCGATTTCCGATAATTACTGCCAGAGTTATGGCCCTTGATCACTTCAAAAAATCTTGTGGACGCTCTAGAGGCCAAAGTTAATATCAGATTGACTTTACATTTATACACAGTGTTTAAGGTCATCAGACGAAGAATCCTATTGATTTTCAGCAATTTCCAATAATTACTGCCAGAGTTATGGCCCTTGATCACTTCAGAAAATCTTGTGGACGCTCTAGAGGCTAAAGTAAATATCCGATTGACTTTAAATTTATACACAGTGTTTAAGGTCATGAGACGAAGAAGCCTATTGATTTTCAGCGATTTCCGATAATTACTGCCAGAGTTATGGCCTTTGATCAATTCAGAAAATCTTGTGGACGCTCTAGAGGCCAAAGTTAATATCCGATTGACTTTAAATTTATACACAGTGTTTAAGGTCATGAGACGAAGAATCCTATTGATTTTCAAAGATTTCTGATAATTACTGCCAAAGTTATGGCCCTTGATCACTTTGAAAAAAAATCTGATTGACTGCAGATTGATACACAGAGTTTAAGATCTTGCGACAAACAAGTATATTGATTTTCAATGAATTTTTATGACTTGGAACAGCTAAATTCATGATACAGTATTAAAAGTTCTGTATACAAAACGTTAGCATGGGGCAGAACTTTATAAAAACCAAACAAATTCTAATGGTTTTCTGAGTTGTTGCTCTTAATCAGATTTTAGTGTATTATAAATGTTTCATTACCGAAAAAAGTAAAAATATGCGACAACTCTTGTTGACTGCCCGGAGGATTTAGCTGCTGTGGGCGTATGTTTCGTTGCCTGGCAACCTATCTTTGATTTTATAATGTGACTTGTTGTTTTACAGTTGCCATATGCGTCACACTATAGTAACGATGCTCCCGTACCCAAATCCTCCTCGTCATGTCCAGCTGAGATTGAACAAGACATGTCATTATTTACGTCAGAGGAAGACGCCAAACTCTGGGTTAAAGACAGACAGAAAAAAGATACGCATAATATGAGTAAGTATTTCAAATAGTAACGAGGCCTGAATTTCCTATAGGGGGGTGGGGGGTGGATGGGCGAATGGTTAGCACGTGCGTGCTGTATCATAAGGTCTGTCATTGAGTCAATCCCCGGTTGTACGTGACAAGGAGTAGGGTCGCCTGTCCAACCTCATGGGTTTTCTCCGGGTCATCCGGTTTCCTCCTACTGCTAAAGACCCCTACGCGCAAGCGAATTATTGAAATAAAAATTAAACCATATGTTAGTCCCGAAATGACCTAGATTGTGTCAAGTAGACGTTAAACCCCATTTCTCTCTCTCTCTCTCTCTCTCTCTCTCTCTCTCTCTCTCTCTCGGAATGCCCTATATTTTAATCCATACAAATATCCCAAATATGGCTCCTGGGACAAATTTAAATAGAAACGAAACCTGAATGTCACATATATGGCACCTGGGACAAACTTGAGGCCTAAATGTCTCATACATGGATCCTGGGACAAGCTGAAATAGAATCAAGGCCTGAATGTCACATATATGGCACCTGGGACAAACTTGAGGCCTAAATGTCTCATATATGGATCCTGGGACAAGCTGAAATAGAATCAAGGCCTGAATGTCACATATATGGCTTGTGGGACAAACTTAAGGCCTAAATGTCCCAGATATGGATCCTGGGACAAGCTGAAATAGAATCAAGGCCTAAATGTCACACATGGATCCTGGGACAAACTTAAATATAAACCAGGCCTGAATGTCCCAAATATGAATCCTGGAACAAAAGTAAATAAACTAAATAAACACAACAGTTCTATGGATAACAATTACTGTATTTCTGTTAAAGCTACGTTTCAACAATGATTCTCTTGTCGTTATTGTTGAAACATAGCTTTAACAGAAATACAGTAATTGTTATCCATAGAACTGTTGTTTTTATTTAATGTATTCAATTAATAAATGCCATTCAAACAGTAAATAAACTAAACTTTGGAATAATTGCCTAGAATTGTTGGCTGTTAGTTACTAAATGCCATTAAACATGCATTATGCAAGAGCTAAATCTGCCTATCACAGGTCTTTCTTTAGGCCTGAAATCTTATCTAAATTATTAATTAGACATTAATTAACTTATCCAGACCATAATAAACTCTCGATGTCAAGGCTAGCCTTCGATATCGACTTGATTAGAATCCTATTTGCTGCAAACGCTCATTGATAATTAAATCAAAACAATGGATAATCGAGACTATGCTTTTTAACGTACTAACTTTAGTAATGATGAACGAGGCTAGGTGAAAATTTACAAACAGATATCTCGGTTCATAGTGGACCAATTTAACTGAATTTTTCAACAAATTACCTTTACATTATCTAGTTTTTAACTATTATAGCGAGAACGGTCAGCTCTTTATCTAATCTCCCATAATTTATCTTTAATATAATAGAGAGAGATTTGGTTTTCAATAACCTGTTTTGCGTATAATGTGTTCTAAATGGTATTTGAATTGTTTGTATTTTACAGTCGAAAGACGGAGACGTTTTAATATTAACGATAGAATAAAAGAACTGGGAACATTATTACCTCGTACGACAGACCCGTAAGTAGATTATATTTATTATCTGTAACACTGATAGAAAATATCGCGAGAAAACCTCACGTCAATCTAGAGCTTTCATAAGGTGTAAAACTTGTATGAGAGCTATTTAAATAAATTGACTTGTTTACAAATTACTCATCACTCTTCTTTCCCCCACCCCATCCTCTTTCACAACCCACTCCCAGCCCCAAATTAACAATATTATTTTATACTGAACATCCATATTTCAAAAAAGAGCAGCTCTGGTTTCAAACCGGGGAATAACGATACTAGTTGTACCGGTCAACATGTATTAATTGTATCATTATAAAAGAATCTTAAAAAATAGACAAATCTGTCCTAGACAACAAAATGATAGGCACCAGAAGGGTCGTGCCTGACAAAACCTGAATTTGTGCCTTATTCCCAGGCTTGACTGTAAATATAATTCTAGGTCAAGTGGATGTAGGTCAGTTTGTGGAGATTAATTATTAAATTAATCTTTAATGTTTAAATATAGTTGTATCTCACTATGGTCAGCTTATATAAACAACACTGTCCAGGTCACACCTATCTTTCTATAATATATACACAATACTGTCTAGGACAGGGGGGGGGGGAGTTGGATGACCGAATGGTTAGCATGTGCGCGCTGTATCGTAAGGCCTTTCATTGAGTCAACTGGCGTGGTTTCGAATCCCCGGTTGTACGTGACAAGGAGTAGGGTTGCGTGTCCAAACTCATGGGTTTTCTCCGGGTCCTCTGGTTTCCTCCCACTGCTAAAGACCCGTACACGCAAGCGAATTATTAAAATAATTTTTTTTTTTTTTTAAAAAAAACATGTTAGTCCCGAAATGACCTAGTTTGTGTCGAGTGGACCCTTAAACCCCATCTCTCTCTCTCTAGGACAACTCCCCCTCTTTCTATAATATGGTCTCTATTTTATTGAGATATTTTAATATTTATCTGTGTGTGATATTAATTGATACTTTGGACTTTATTTAATGATAAATGATATGAGATATGATTATAATCAATAGTTATAATAGATATTGACAAAGGCCATACAAATAAAATATTCGGTTTCTTCGACAGTTCCTCAGGATTTTACGGCATGGTTTCCTCTTGTCATTGGTCTAATCATTTGGATGGGGTGGAAAACCGATATAAGAGTAGGCTGTAGCGCTGCGGTCTGGGCAAATTCCCCTCATATCACACTGTATGGCGTACGCTCGTCTTCATTAGCCCAGTCGGTGCAGGAAAGTAGGGAGATTTGTCGACCGCTTATCTCATCTTCTTATTCTTGGGGGGGGCGATGCTATTACTAAAAATCCTAATTGTCTACACATGTATTTTTGTAAATTGATTTCATGTATTATTAAACCAATAAACTTATTTAAAAAAAAAAAAATAAAAGAAATAAGGAAAAAAATTTTTAGACTCCCCCCAATTCCTGTACGCTCAAAGTGAAGATTGGCTGGTTTGTTCATTGGATATTTGTGCATTGATTGACAGACATCACAATAAGATGGCTGCGATGTTGTTTGTAGTAATGTGTAATTATCCAGTATAATTATGATTGTTAATAACATTTATCAAGGTTGTGCCCTTGATAATTGAGTCTACATTTCCTGAAATTAGAAATTTGTCATAAAGCTACTTCCAGGAATATATTTACATGTGTTGATTAATTGAAATAAAAACGGATCACGCTGCCAAGTTAAAGTGACGTGGAAGTTTCTGAGAAACAGATTCAGATTGGGCGATATACCAATATTGATGATAATACATATGCTATGTCATCACCTATAATGTTCTATTGCGGGGATTAAATTCATCAGTAAAAATAGCATTATTAAGTACTGACTGGTCTGGGATAAATTTCCATCATGGTGTCTACTGACATTAGCAACAATAATTTGACACTGTGCATTTAAAATTTGACTTCTTAAGACACACGTATAAATTATCATGATAATATCGTTTATCGTGATATTTGATAAATTATTATATAATTTCTTTTTTTTTTTTTCATTATTTCCCAACCCTAAAACAGAGTATATTTTTAATATGGCCTAATCATTAATGTTTATATACATGTCTCAACAAGATAATATACTCTACATTTAAAACAGGATAAGATTTTAACGACTATGACTTGACGATATTTAACAGAACACAAATTGTATGGGAAACAATCGCTGGATATATTACACAATCAGGATGTTTCGACAAGCACAGCGTCATACTTGTGTAATCAATCGAGTGATTGTTTCCCATAAAACTTGTATTCTATTAAAGATACATTATGTAAGATTTAAATAAAGAGCTAGCCATTCTTGCTATAATAGTTCGAAAATAGATAATGTAAAATGAAAATTTTGAACATTTCATTCAAATTACTCTATTGCAAGCGAAGATATTATTTATTGAAGGTTTGACAAGTCGTGTGCAATAATTTCAACCACCGTACTGGTTGTTTGAAGCTAAGTCTCGCTCCTCCATTTTTAGCTTAAATCAAAATATGGCTGAACTATTTAATATCGGAGAAATCCGATACCATCGAGAGTTGATTATGGCCTGGATAAGTTAATTAATATCTAATTAATAATTTAGAAAACATTTCAGGCCTAAAGAAAGACCTGTAATAGACAGATTTAGCTCTTGCACAATGTATGTTTGTTGACGCATTATTCAAGAGCTAAATCTGCCTATTAAAGGTCTTTCTTTGGGCCGTAAATTTTATCTAAATTATTAATTAGACATTTATTAACATGATAAGACCATAATCAACCTTTGATGCCATTGGATAGCTCCGATTTAAAGTAGTGTGGGGGGTCGGATGGCCGAATGATTAGCACGTGCGCGCTGTATCATACGGTCTATCATTGAATCAACTGGCGTGGTTTTGATTCCCCGGTTGTATGTGACAAGGAGTAGGGTCGCCTGTCCAACCTCGTGAGTTTTCTCTGGGTTCTCCAGTTTCCTCCCACTACTAAAGACCCCTACGCGCAAGCGAATTATTGAAATAAAGTTGAAACATGTGTTAGTCCCGAAATGACCTAGTTTGTGTCGAGTGGACGTTAAACCCCATTTCTCTCTCTCTCTTAAAGTAGTGCCGCTGTCCAAGTAAAATTTCCCAGTCAGTGCAGAAAAGTACCACTTCTCATGTATATGGGTAATTCACATAGCTATTAAATGTTGTATGATGTATTTTACAGAGACATGAGACAAAATAAAGGAACAATATTAAAAGCTTCGGTGGATTACATCAGAAGATTAAAAAGAGATCAGGATAAAATGAAACAAGCAGAGGAAAAAAATCGTATGCTTGAATCTAATAACAGAAAATTATTACTCAGAATGCAGGTAAGATAACCATGGTGACAGATTATAAATTGGGTGGTTAATGCATTTACTTTAGATCATAAGGTCTGTCATTGGGTCAAGAGGCATGGTTTCGATGCCAGGGTGGCAAAGATTAGTTTCACCTGCCCAACTACATGGATTTTCTCCTTGTCCTCCAGTTTCCTACAGCTGCTAAAGACCCATACACACAAAATGATTATTGTAAAAATTATGCCATATATAGTCCTGAAAGGACAAAGTTTATGTCGATTGGATGTTTAATCCATCTCTCTCTTTCTATCTCTGATGTTTTTAGGGGGGTTGGATGGCCGAATGATGGTTAGCACGTGCATGTTGTATCATAAGTTCCGTCATTGAGTCAACTGGCATGGTTTCGGCTTTCGATTCCCCGGTTGTATGTGACAAGGAGTAGGATCGCATGTTCAACCTCATTGCTTTTCTCCAGGTCCTCTGGATTCCACCCATTGCTAAAAATCCCTATGCGCAAGCGAATCATTTAAATAAAATGACCTAGTTTATGCGAGTGGACCTTAACCGCCCCTCTCTCTCTCTCCCTCTCTCTCTCTCTCTCTCTCTGACTGAAATTATATTAAAATTAAATTTGTCTTGACTACTGAAGGGAGAAAACACTTGTAAGATAGTTGGGGGTTTTTTTTCAAATTTTGAAATAGCTGCGACGAGATCATGCACAGTAAGAAAGTTGATGTCCTATAAAAAATATTTATTTTAATAATAATTTTTCTGTTTACAATTTCAGCAATTGGATTTATTGATGAAATCCCATGGAATGTCAACAGGTATGCATGAAGATGTCACCGCATTAACCACTATGGTCTCGCCAAACACAACAGACCTAATCAAGACAGAAAACCATGATCAATCGCACTGCAACCAATCAAATAATAGTTCGCAGTTCGATATACTGATGGAGGATTCGTCTCCAGTTAGCGGGGATCCCATGTTGATGTCTAACCCCGTGAGTCCTTTTATGGACGACACCAGCTCCGATTTCTCTTAATTTGACGGAGAAAGGATAGAGGAGGCGGAAATTGTTATTGATTTGTTGAAGATTGTAAAAGATGTTGCCACAATTTTGTTGACCTTTTTAAAAGATATTGCCTCATTTCGAAAGACTCAAATGTGGTAATTGTTATGTTTTATCTGTTAAAGGGAGATGACTCTTGTTTATTTTTATCCTGAAGAAAAATTATGAGTGAGTGGAATGAAATCACCTTTTCCTGACATTTGGTGCAGGCGTTTTGTGCATTCTGATTTTATTATTAAAAACTAGTTTTAGCAATTAGGTGCTCCACTGTGCAAATCCATTTATGGAGAAGACTGAAAAATGATTTTATATGATGGTACTGTGGTATCAGAATTGTTCTACTACTTCAACCATTTCTTTTGTACTAGATTGTTCCTAGTGGAGATGTCACGTCACAAGGATTCACAAGGAGTGTAAATTTTAAACTGTAAAAAACAACATAGTTTTGTGTATATAAATATATTAGCGATCACAACATTTTCATAAATTCAGATGACATTAAAAAGGGGTCAAGCATCAACAATGTTTTGATCAGACCTTGACAGTTATAAGATAAAAATGGATTATATAGACCTTATACATGTATATATATAAAACCATTCTCACCATTGGCATAAGTTCCGATGGTGTTAAAAAAGGGGTCAAACATCAACAGTGTTTTGATTGGACTTTGACAGTTTCGTGAACAAAAATAAAAAAAGGAATGGATTATAAATTCTTGGTTTCCGCATGAACTATGTAGCATGATTCTGGATCGGACCAACCAACCACATCCTTTGTGACATATCAGCACAAGACATTTTGAATTGAATCAAGTCTGGTAATAAGACAACATACAGACAACCGAGGCACAGATTTAGACTTTGGCACAATTCCTTTGTCTGGCATTAACACACCTTGTCAATTTCAGTGGTGTCTGTTCGGGTAATTTCCTGAATTTAAAATCACAGACTAATTTCTATATTTAACTATGACATCATCATTAGCCAATCATTGTTTAGTTTTTGAGAAACCATTTTAAAGTTTAATTTTGTTTGTGGACAAGCAGTTAATTAAATATTTTAAATGTTATGATGTGGTACAAGAATTTATTCTTTAAAAATTTTTACCTTGGAACCTTTCATGGCCTTGGCTGGAATGTCATGTCAGAAAAAACGGACGCTTATATTGTGGGCACTATTATATTTGATGACTGGTTCAGAATTATAAACAGGATTGAATATTTGTTTTATTTTTTGTTAATTTTGGCATGATTGTTGATGTCAATAAGCAAATCCTTGTTCATGTATCACAGAAATCCAACATGAGAAAATTCAGATCCATTACGGTACCCGACCGATCAATCTGATTAAAACACAAATCCTGTTTCGTTTCGGAAACATCAACACTGATTAGTTAAATCAAATGTCTGACGTCATAGGGTCAAAAGATGCTCATATGACCTCTGACACGACCTTCCACTACAAGCGTTCAGATCTTCATGTAGTGTAGGCCATCGAAAGTATAACAAAAACGAAACAAAATATAGATCTGTATTTTGATCAGATTGTTGAAAGAATATGACTGGATAAAAATGGCTCAAATAATGAGAGTTTTAGTAATTAAATGTATATACTGGCCCCTAAAGGCATATCAAAATATTAGATGTACATAATGATTCATTTTAAATATTTTTAAACATTCATTTCATCGTCATCTGTATATAAACTAAGTTCATTGATCGTTATATTATTTGAGGTAATTTAATTGTAGACGGATATTTTATGCAGACATAGATTATGTTAATGATAATTTCTCCTAATGATGTAAAGTTTTATGCACCAGCCACTTTGACAGACACAATGTGGGTGTGGCTTATTATGTTAATGATAATTTCTCCTATTGATGTAAAGTTTTATGCACCAGCCACTGTGACAGACACATTGTGGGTGTGGCTTATTATGTTAATGATAATTTCTCCTATTGATGTAAAGTTTTATGCACCAACCGCTGTGACAGACACAAAGTGGGTGTGGCTTATTGTATTGAAATATATATAAAATGTGACAGACACAATGTGGGTGTGGCTTACAGTGGATTGATTTTCAGATTTCTAAAAATCGTGAATCTTTAGAATCAATTTATTTTCCATGTCTGTTTATCTTTAAATATTTGTTGATGGCAGAGATTGATCAGATTCATTTCATTTCAATTAACATCGAATAACGAATACCAAAAAATATTGCCGTGAGTGCCACCTCAACCCTCAGCTGGATTGACTCCTAGTATATTATTTCGGAAATTAATTGTAACAATTGGTGTTAATTGTCAGAGAGAGAAAAGAGGTTTAACATCCACTCGACACAAACTAGGTCATTTCAGGACAAACATATGGTTCAATTTTTTATTTCAATAATTTGCGTGTAGGGGTCCTTAGCAGTGGGAGGGAAACTGGAGAACCCAGAGAAAACCCACGAGGTTGGACAGGCAACCCAACTGATTGTCACGTACAACCAGGGATTCGAAAGTTAATTGTCAGTCAGTCATAGCCAGTGCCTTTTATAAAATAATTTGTACATGATGTAAATATAGATATATATATATATAGAACTGTTATGTAAATAGTGAAATATTTATAAATGTATAAATAATACAGTAGATCATTCAATGTCTTTCTAACTAATTCTGCAATCAAAACCATTTTAAATCTATCATAAATGAAGGAATTTAAAAAAAAAAAAATGAGTTAAAACAACTTTTTAATGATTCCTTAACCCCTTGCGAAATTTTTATCTCTCTATATATAAATTTATGATGCCATTTTGTTTCCTTCTGGGAGATTTATTCTCTTGGTGTGTAAGAAACAGGGCCCTTATTCACGAAAACTTAAACTAAGATACAATCGAAATTTTAAGAAATACTGCGATTGGATTGGCTGACCAATATGCAAATTGGATATATGCAAATTGATTTTACTGGTCAGCCAATCGAATTGTAGTATTTCTTAAAATTTCGATTGTATCTTAGTTTATGTTTTCGTGAATAAGGGCCCAGAAAGAATGAACTGGAAGGAATCATTGATTGTGAAAACCATTTCTTCTCGTGGAAGGATGTAAACTTTCTGGTGTTTGTCAATCTGGTTAAAACACAGATCCTATTTTGTTTCGTGTTTTATAGTTCAAAATTTCGTTTTACTTGTCTTTACTACACTTGGATCTGGAAGAGTTGTTATATAACCTGCGTTCTGGATGATGTGAGGGATTAGTCAATGAAAGGGTCTGTTATGGCGATTTTTGGGCGTGAGTTGCACGGAACTGTGGGTTACCCACTAGAAATATCAACGCTGATTGGCTAAAGTCAAAAGTCGCTGGTATGACCTCTGCCGCAACCTCCCACTACAACTGGTCAGATCTTCATGTAGTAACAACCATCGAAAGTATAAAAAAATTAAACGAAATATAGATTTGTATTTGAATTAGATTGGTTGTTTGTGACAGTTTATTGGCCTAACTTTATAACCGTGGTTCATTTATCATCCCTGATGCAAAACTGTTCAGTGGGTAATCAAGGTGCCGGCTTACCAGACCTTTAATTCCCTGGTTCGATCCCAGTGTTGTCCGAGAAAGTGCTTATAAGATTTTCCAGGCTGTTCTCCCCTTGTCAATGGTGCACGATGGAGGGACTGGCAAAGATAAAAAGTGTTAAGTCATTCGGATGGGAAGAAAAAGTCTCATCATATTCATAGTGCACTGTACTGTAATGGACATTGAACCCGATGCTCCAGGAAGCGTGTGCTACTATGAACCTATTACAGAGAAAGAGAAATGGGGTTTAACGTCCACTCGACACAAACTAGGTCATTTCGGGACTAACATATGGTTTAATTTTATTTCAATAATTCGCTTGCACGTAGGGGTCTTTAGCAGTGGGAGGAAACCGGAGGACCCGGAGAAAACCCACGAGGTTGGACAGGCGACCCTACTCCTTGTCACGTACAACCGGGGATTAGAAACCACGCAGTCGACTCAATGACAGACTTTATGATACAGCGCACACGCTAACCATTCAGCCATCCCCCCCCCCCCCCCTGAACCTATTACAACCAATCTTAAGCCAATTTGAATTTTTTTTTTTTTTTTTGTTCTTCGGACGGCCATTAAATCTATTTCGTCGTTAAAAGAAAAAAACTTGGTTGGCTTTTCATAAGCTTTTAGTTTAAAATGTTTTATGTTGAGTTTTAGACATCTTAAGCAGTGCTCACATTAGCCTAATCGTTCGGCCGAATAAATCTGCGCCAAATTTTATTCGGTTGAATGGGTGGACACAGGGCGGTTGCTTCGTCTGATTCACACTAGGCGGCAAATTGGTAGACTCACCAATCGATTGCATCACCTTTCACGGCACATCTCGGTGACCATATCTTCAAACAATCACGTTTCTTCTCAATATGAGGGCTGATTGGCTAATGAATTCTACATTCGGGCGAAGCAGGCACACTAGGTGAATATATTTTAGCCGAATATATATCAAAAATGCTTGATTCAGGTGACTGACAGTGGAATTTCGACCCCGATTGATTCAGCCGAATTATTCGGCTAGTGTGTCCACTGCTTTAACCCCTAAGAACGCATTGCTTTGTCCAGACTAGCCATCTGTATTGCTACAAACTCAGTCTTGGTATTACCTGGTTCAATATATGATTTATCTCCCTTTGCTTGAATTAGCTCCATTTATTATAATCATAAAATATGATTTTAAATGGACAAAAATATTTTTAGACAAAATAAAATCCACAAGTGGTGAAACAACCAGTTCACTCACCATATCTTGTTTTCTAGATTAGATAGCAATCGATAACAACGGTCATTAAATGGTAACCAAGGGAGATTTTACGTCTCTGAAATTAGTACCATGGAGATTTTAGTTATACAGAGATGGGCAGACGTTGTCAGGCCCAAATTTCTCTGTTACACACAGATATGGCTTCTAAGTGTGTTTTTATGGATAATATATATCCCCAAATCTGGAACTAATTCAGTAAACATCGTTATTTCCATAACTTATTTGACCTGTTCATCGTTATCGTATTAACTTTATTTGTGATCTTTTTTAAATATTATAATACAATTGTTAAATATATCATCATATGTAATAAACCCCATCATTACAGGTTATGTTGACGTGTTAATTACGTGGAGTATTTTGGTTAGAAAGTTAGGAAACGAAGAGTGAGAATGGGGTTGAATGTCCACTCGACACAAACTAGATCATTTCAATTTTATTTCAATAAATCGCTTGCTTGTAGGGGTTTTTAGCTGTGGGAGGAAACCAGAGGACCCGGGGAAAACCCACGAGGTTACCCACACCACCTGACTAGTTAGGAGAAAGGAATAGGTTTTAACCTCTCATCAGCATAATACTCTTCAGTCATTTTTGGACTAAAATCAAGGGTGTTGGCATGACAGGGCTGTGGGTGCAAATGTCCCCTAAAGCATGGGGTAATTGCCCAACTCCCCTAGATGGTTCAGCGAGTCACTCTTTTAGATGGAACCTGGATTCCAGATAAATGCACCAACCAAATGATAACCTAGTCGGAAGACGTCAGATTTCATCGCTTTCTTTCGGGAAGAGAACAGCGCCACATGCCCCCCAGACGTTCGTATGAAATCCGAACGAGCCACCTTTGCCGTGATAGCAACATTTGCGCCTACTTTGTAAGTTCTAACTGCCAAGAGTTTTTTTAAGTGCATGTCAATATGTATAAGAGGGGACCTCGGTTTTTCATATCATCCGAAGGACCATACTGCACACAGCGATGCATCTACTTCATACCTCGAGAATACATTCTCAGGCGGAGCTAGCTGTTGTGTTACGGGTAGTTAAAAATGATATCCTATTACGTTAACGATCAGACATCAGGTCAGAGGTCTCCGCACCATTCGTACAGTACAAATTAGCCCAATTTCATAAAATTAGGGTTGACGTAACGGCGTGCTCTAATGCAGCGCTTGCCTAAATATGGTCAAGGATCCGCCCTGATAGTTGACACCCCTCACCTTTTCATATAAATTAGACTAGCGCGTTTTCCCGGGAGACGGTTGGGCGAAATAGCCAGGGTACACATCATAGGTTTTAATCGTGGTTAACGTTTAAATACCTAAAGAACCATAGCTGTGTCGATGTTGTAGAATATATTATTGTAACCTATAAAGATATCTCCAGAGAACAGAAAAGGGTTTGAAGTCTTATTTATCACAACGCCAAGTCCTACTTAGACACACGACAGTGTGACACAGAAGATTTGGCCGTCCGGACACAGGGTACGTGTCCCCAGAGTGTCACAGATGTGCGTAGTTAAAGCGAGATCAAGCTTTCTATTAAAGATGGGGTTTCCTGCTGTTCTGCTCCGACTGGACTAATGAAGATGTGAATTGCCAACGTATAGGCCTACATTGGAGTACCTCGGGTTTTTTTTTTTTGTCCCATCGAAACAACTAGACAGCTGTCCTTTTCAGGCCCTTCATCCTGCACCACTGACAAGGGGAAATCACGTCGGAAAATTTTGATGAACTTTCTCGGCCAACACCGGGAGCGAACCCGCAAATTCCAGGCTAGTGAGCCAGTGTCTTACTCACTTAGCTACCACGACTTTCAAAATAGGGAGCAGTGTGCCCAATCGTGTCAATTGTATGATGTGTAAACAAGGGGTCACTTTAATGGAACTTTTGATAAAATAATAACTTTCTATTCCCAAGTGCCAGGGACAAAAGCATATTCACGGATAACAAGTGCAATTTCAGTTCAGAAACAGCATCTCGTCATTCGGATGGGACAGAAAAAAAACAAGGTATTATACTGTGTACGTAAAATTACCCTTGACACGACAGTTGGAAGTGAATTGCTGCTGGAACCAGGGCCGTAACTAGGCTCAGAGCAACGGGGGGGGGGGGCGGGAAGTGTTCTCAGGGGTGCTGTAAAATTGACGGACAATGCATATCTATGGTCGACAATATTTTCACAGGGGGGGGGGGTAAAACTTTTTGCAAGCGGGGGTGCTCTAAATCACTAAATATGCCCAATTTGCATGGGTGGACCACCGGGTGACGACAATACACCTGGATGTAGGCCTATAAATAAGTCTAAGATTGTATAGTCCGTGGATAATTTAATATAAAGGTTTGAGACTCAGACAGACCGATGTAAAATATTCACAAGTTGAAGTAGGCCTGCCACTATAGACCAGGAACTGGATATGATGTAATCGAAGCCATCTTGGAATTGTGATGTCATGTTAAAAATCGAATTGCGAGCAATCATGAATCAATGCCCCGTGGTCCACGGAACATGCATGCCAAGTTTTATGTCAGCATTAGGCTGAGTGTCGCCCCCAAGAACAACAAGAACAAGTTGAAGTAGCACTTGCAGAGCTTTGAAAGTTTGAGTCTGAGGACCAGCTTCTCGTCCACAAATAAATTTTCAACAAGCTTCTTCCGAAAACACTTTTTAAATTTGACCTTGACTAGCCTTATCCATAAATCGATGGCTGAGTATGCAAATGTTACATGACATCCAGTTTTGGTCAAAATGATGTTTTGACCTTTTTGAATAGCATAAACATGCGCCCTTCTACTGTGTAAATGCTGTTAGTCCAGATTAATTAGAGTATCATGTTATTGCCATGAAGACATATAGCACATGTCCCCATCCAGCAAAAGTTTAGTATGCAAAAGTGATATTTGTGGACATGTAACTTTCGTCTACTGAAAGCTCATAACACTAAACAGGAACCAGTGGACATATCGCCTACAAAACACGTTGTCAGGGGTCTAAACATTAAAGTTTTTGTAAATGTATTTTTAAAATGGGTCATTACATGACAGAGTTCACAATTGCTCGATATTTCTTAAAATTGAACTCATTCCTGTGCATCTAACATGGCATTATGTCCATCAAAATGTGGACCTATTTTAAAAGTTCAATTTGCATAAACGATATGTCCATATGGAACCGATTTGCCAGAAGTCAGGAACCAATTTCATTCAAATGATCATCTCGATTTGTGTAGTACCAACCAATATATAACATATATCATGTTCGGATAATTCCCTGATTTGAAATAGGAATTCAAAGACAATTTTAAGTTTAAAAAGGGATTTTCTCGAAACAAGAAAAATGGACATGTAGTCTAACATATGCATACTCAGCCATCGAAATGTTATTGAAAATATCAATTACTTTGTTTTTTGGCAAATAAAATCCTGATTGCGATTTCCACCAGTGTCGGACATCGCGATATGTCCGTTATTAAATAGTTGAATGTTTACAAAATCTTCCTCTGGGAAGTCGTTTTCCGGTTCCCCTGGTCCCCATGACAACACCGTCATTACGTCACCGTTACTATAACGCCACGTGCCTTCTATTGCTGCATCTGTCCCATCAATAAAGGCTCGAAGGTAATCTGTAAAGAAACGGTTTTCA